CCAGCGATTTTCAATAAATACACATTGTTGTATATATTTACACAATAAACACATACATTTTACACATTGTCTTATGTAGTTATATGGTATGGTATGACTTTGAAACCATGGTTCAATATGAACACGGGGGTCCAGAAAGGTGCATGAAGAATATAGGTGCATATAGAAATGTTTATATTTATTGAACATCTATGATTTTTTTTTTTATTACCACCTTACACTCCTGCCTGAACAGTATATTATATTACATTACATAACATATTTATATATAGATGTCTTGAGTGTCAGTGATCACTTTACAAACAGAATTGTTCTCGAATATTGATTATGGTTTTAATTTGCTGGTTGCATTTAGTTGAAACTTGTAGGGAGAGGAGTTGAAAGTAATATTTTTTAATCTTTTTATAAAAAACAAAAATCAACGTACATTCTACGGAACAACAGTTTTAAAATATTTGAATTTTTTAATTTATAAATTAATGATCGTAAATATATGTGTAAAGTGTAATATATTTACATTATTTACATAATTTTACATTAAATCTGTTTTCTTCTAATAAAATTGAAAGTTTTTGTTTATTTCTAATTGAGTTTTAATAAAAATATTTCATAATATATCTAACAATTATTATACCTAATGAGAAAAAAATGTTTGCTATCAATTTTTGAATTTATTTTGGCGTATGCTTGTTGTTTAAATTAACAATGAAAATAAATATAATTAAAAATTACATTAATTAAACACAATTCAATATATTTAACACTACGTGCACAAGTGGCACAACACATATTACACTGTTATCCTACAAATGGATCCGTCTATCACGTAAAACCCAAACAGAATGAACATGTACCTAATAAAACCATATATAAGCGATAAAGTATCCGTTAGTGCCACCAATCAATTGATATCAGTCAGCTATTACTAAGTTATATCATGATATAAGTTGTATAATATTAATCTTAAACCCGATAAAATTCAAGTCCCTGCAACACATTGTAGTCGTAAATTTATCTTCGCAAAATAATTGGTAGGTATATATGTAATACCTGAGGCTGAACTTTTTTAATTGTTCATATTATTCTAAATATTGAAAACAATGTATTAAACAGTTACATCAGTTTCAATAATTTTAGCATGGCTTAAATATACAAGGTTATTGCAATAGTACCTACAGTATATCATTTTATCACGTTAAGGAATTAAAATGGCACCGTAAGGGGACGACGTATACTGGCTATACTTTGATATTATATGCATAATGTGGACAGTACCCTTCATAGGCGGATGATGGTCATATCCGTGAGGGGGCTTGATATTTTTACAATATTCATTAGCGTAAACACATTATTAGAAACTTCAACCTGCAAGCTAGTAGCTCTTCCACTTTATTCTAGCTGAGGCACCAAATATGTATAGGTTATATTATACTTATATAAACATAAATAAATAAATATTTTAAGCTATTAAATTTGTTTTTTATTTTAATGTTATTAATCTATTTTTTTTTTGCAAATATATCGATAACAGTATCGGTATTAATACACTTAGTTATGTTTTCTTCAATATACAATATTGATGTGTTGTTGAACTGACTATTTACCTACTGTTTACCGAACTACCAACTTATGTACTCTCAATAATTGTACATTGGCACTACTTTTGTCTACTTAGACGTCAACAATTTGTGAATACGAGTAAACACAGGAGCTTTTTGAAGTCAGAGTATATATTCTAGTCAGAGTACTTATATTGTGTTGAAAATTCAAAAATTGATAGCAAAAACTTTTTTCTCATTAGGTATAATAATTGTTAGATATATTATGAAATATTTTTATTAAAACTCAATTAGAAATAAACAAAAACTTTCAATTTTATTAGAAGAAAACAGATTTAATGTAAAATTATGTAAATAATGTAAATATATTACACTTTACACATATATTTACGATCATTAATTTATAAATTAAAAAATTCAAATATTTTAAAACTGTTGTTCCGTAGAATGTACGTTGATTTTTTGTTTTTTATAAAAAGATTAAAAAATATTACTTTCAACTCCTCTCCCTACAAGTTTCAACTAAATGCAACCAGCAAATTAAAACCATAATCAATATTCAAGAACAATTCTGTTTGTAAAGTGATCACTGACACTCAAGACATCTATATATAAATAATGTTATGTAATGTAATATAATATACTGTTCAGGCAGGAGTGTAAGGTGGTAATAAAAAAAAAAATCATAGATGTTCAATAAATATAGACATTTCTATATATATTTATACAATAAATACATAAGTCGTACCAATTGTCTGGTATATTAATACGGCATGGTATGACTTTGAAACCACGGTTCAATATGAACGCGATGGCATGGAGGGGTACACGAAGAAAACATAAAATAAAAGACGAAGAAGGGTGTTGGTTCACATAGCTAAATAATTTAGTATGCTGGTTTGTAAGCTGGCTTGTAGGCCGGGGCAGAGTATGCTGGCTTGTAGGCTGGTGTGGAGTATGATGGAGCCTTGTATCCACCTTCGTTGTTGACGACGGCGTTGAAACCGCTGTGGTCATCGGCGGTGTATTCGACGGTACGGATTGATAGGTACTACAGTACCTATTGCAGTTTTACAGTATAATTATACAAAGTGGGTAGGTATAATATGTCCAGATGTCTTAATCAACGTTATCAATCTAACGGTAAGACATGAAAATATAAATTAATCGATGGAATCTACTTGGTCCAGAATAGTGGAGTTAACATAGATTGAGAGTAGCCTTACATTTAACTGTTGATGTCTAAGAAATTATAATAATAATATTATTATACATAATATAACATGAAATTATGAAATAAATATTATACTTAAAAAGTTGCTCTGCTGTACAGTAGGTTACAAGTGGGTCACTGGTATTAAACTTGAATTCAATGATATAATATCATTATAGGTATAAGAAAACGATTCTGAGCGAAAACGGTTAGTCAGCCTATGATATTACGAAGTATATTTGATGATACTAAGGTGAATAAAGTAATTTATACATATATAACCTATTTACGTAGAATCTTATATTACATTTTCAATCATTAGCTTTAAAGTTGAACATTTTATAAATTTATAACTACAAAATTATTATTAAATTTTAAATGTGATGAATTTTTTCAAAATTTGAACTTTAAATGCTAATAAAAAAAAATTGTGCCTATATGTATTTTTCATATTTTTCAAGTGCTATTGTAACAATATATCAGGAGATTTGCATTACATTTTCACGCTTTTCTTGTATTACATTTTCATATCTTAGATTTAAAAATAAAAATTTTATGATTTTCTAACTCGAAATAATTTGCAAATTTTTGTCATTTTTACGAATTTTGTCAATATTTTAACTTTAAATGCTCATAACAAAAAACTGTGACTAAGGATTTTTAATATTTTTATCTGTCTTTGAAACAATATATTAGGAGCCTTCTATTAAATTTTTAAGCTTTTTTAAACAACAAATACAATTTTATTGATATTTATATAATATATACCTAATCTTGAAAATATTACTTTAGATATTGTTTTTGAATAATTCATAAAAAATTGTATTCCAATACAGATTATACAAATTACTGATTAAGGGGCCTGCTCGCGATTTTTCAAATTTTCCGCAATTCTATAAAATTTGAAAATTAAATTTTATATTTTAGTTGCCACCTCAATTATAAGACTTTTCCACTAATCTACTACCCAATACCTATTTAGGGGGGGTTGATAGGGTGTATTATATCGGTCAAAACACAGTTTACAGGAAAAACTCTCACACCTCGTAGATTGGTCCGATTTCCGTAATTTTTTTTTTGTTAGATAGAGGAATATTTTTTACAGGGCGCATTGGACTTCGATTTTTGATTACGTCGCTAAAAACAAAAAATAATACAAAAACTAAAAAGTTGTAAAAATTGATTAAATTCAAACTTGTAACATAAGACTTAGAAAAATAATGTTGAAAATCCAAGTCCAATGCGCCCTGTAAGAAGTCTTCCTCTATCTAACAAAAAAAAAATTACGGAAATCGGACCAATCTACGAGGCGTGAGAGTTTTTCCTGTAAGGCATGTTTTTGAGCAAAAAAATAGGTCGCGTGCAGGCCCCTTAAGCTTACTACACACATGTATACACAACACACTGTCAAGTGATAATACGCCTCCTTAAATGTCCTATGTTCTGAATATATTCTAATAAAAAGATTTAAATGCCATCCCCTTTATGATATTTTAAATGCAGCACATGTTCATAAATTAAAGTTATTATCAACTACGAGTATAAACTTTTAATAATGTTTGCCTTATTATTATACATGGTCATAACTTTAATATCGCCAATATAAGATAGGTGCGATGTATCATTGATATATCATAATATTATATTAAACTGTATCTTAAAAGTTATATGCACGACTTGTAGTATTTTGTATAGGCACATTGGTTTGATACCTAATATAGCCACACAAAAAGTTGTACATTTGTTTCAGATAACCAATAAGTTGCATATGAAATTTTTTGTTACACATTTGCTACGTTCTATTTTTAACGATATTTTATGATTATAGTGTAATTTTAAACTTGTATCAACTAAATGCAACTATCAATTTAAAATCATAATCAATATTAAAGCATATTTTCCGATTGTAATGTGATGACTGACACCCAAGAACTTATATATATATAAATATAATTTGTATTTTAGTATACAGTTCTTGTTCAGGCAGTAGTGCAAGGTGGTAATTAAAGTAAAAAAATCATAGATGTTCAATAAATATACACATTTTTATATATATATTTACACAATAAATACATAAGTCGTACCAATTGTCTTATATATTAATATATGCACGGCATGGTATGACTTTGAAACCACGGTTCAATATGAACGCAATGGCCCAGAGGGGTACACGAAGAAAACATGAAATAAAAGACGAAGAAGGGGGTTGGTTCACATGGCTAAATAATTTAGTATGCTGGTTTGTAAGCTGGCTTGTAGGCCGGGGCAGAGTATGCTGGTGCAGAGTATGCTGGTGCAGAGTATGCTAGTGCAGAGTAAGCTGGTGCTGAGTAAGCTGGCTTGTAGGCTGGTGCGGAGTATGATGGAGCCTTGTATCCACCTTCGTTCTTGACGACGGCGTTGAAACCGCTGTGGTCATCGGCGGTGTATTCGACGGTGCGGATTGAGCCATCGGCTTCAACGAGGCTGTAGGTTCCCTTGACGTAACCGTTTCCGTCACTGTATTCGGATTGGCTGTGCACGTCGTAGGTGTGTGGGTCGTTTACGCTGTATTCGAATTTGTATGGTGTTGGTGCGTATGCGGGCTCTGGGGCGTAAGCTTTTGGCGCTGAGTAAGCTGGTGCAGAGTACGCTGGCTTGTAAGCAGGGGCAGAGTATTGAGCGAGGGCGGTAGCCACGCAAGCGGCGAAGATGACGAACTAAATAAAAAAAAAAAATTCTGAATTAAAAACCATTCATTTTTTTCCAATTGCCATATTATATTTTTTTTCTTATATTAAAAATAAATTTGCATTGAAACGCACACTTTTAAAACATAAAATAAAATGAATATTGTCTTACCTTAGCGGCCATTTTAGTGTTGTTTTGGTTTTTGGTCAAATTATTTGATGACTGTGTACAGAAATTAACTAATGATTACAGAGACCAGAGTTGTGGTATTTATGCTAAAAATTTGTCCCACCATCCCTTCTATAGGTAGGTACGTATATAACAAAAGACTGTACAGTTTCCCACCGGCAGTTGGTGTATATCGTCTGTATATTATCTAACAAGAACCGGTCGAAGCGTAGACGCCCGTTAAGTACATTTCATTATTATTAAATAATTGTATTCGAAGAGTGTAAAATATAGATCAAGTTCATTGAAAATATGATTTTGAATAAAGTTCACATACTGAAATTTAAAATAATATGTTCTGATATGTCTACGATTAACTCATTACGATCCACTCATCTTGAATACTAATAATTATCACATTATATATATGAATATATTATTTTTGGTTAAATATTAAAAATATATATTTCTTTTTTCTACAAAATTAAAAATGAGTGAAAGTAGTCACTAAGCCGATAACAAGGTAACAACAATAATTGAATATTCTATAGCCATTGATTATATTAATTATTGCGTTGCACAGTTGATTTAATAATTAGCTCATTGAATATTATATTAGATTCTGAGTGAAGGGATTAATGTTATTATTTTTAATAAGTATATTTTTTCATGTGACTTTCATCACCTCTTTTCCATCAATAAAAATGCTTCGATTATCCACTTTTTGGAGATTTATAATAGGAAATTAGAACTAATTGGTTCTTTGGGAGTCAAGATCTATGAACTATTCAAAACAATTGAGACAAATAATAAAACAATTAAGAAATTAAAAGAACCAGATATATCAGTCGAAATCAGTTTTCAACATAAACAATATTTATTTTATTTTACTAAAAAACCAAAATATTCTTAGATATATGAAATTTTTACTAAATGTTAAGATTTGTATTTTCTATTTATGAGTAGTTTATAATATATTTCAACACCTTTTTAGCTGTTAATTATAATCATTTTAATTGTTTTAATTTTGTCTATTGAAATTTCGCTACAGATGCTTCCGTTTGTTAAAATACAGAGTTTGAAAATTGAATATAAGGTTTTAGTTTAGGTGTTATTATAGCTTTTTAAAGATATTGAAATTACCTAAGAATCATTTTTTATATACACTTGAACTTCAAAATCACATATATGTTCAAATTATTTTGTAGTTCAAAATTCATAATTAATTTTTTATTGATATCCAACATTTATAAATCTAAACAAGGTACCATTGTTTTATATAATTTTTTTACCTATAAAAAATAAATCATTTTACTAGAAACTCACATTTATTAATGAGTGTTTGAATTGTCAAAGGTTTACATCATTAGATATTTATTTTTAAATTAATTATTTCTAATAAATAAATATTAATAATATTGTTACAATTCCAAACATTTTTTTATATTAATTTAAAGTTCAAATTTTGACTAAATTCTCCAAAAAATTAAATTACATACTGTATAACTATTGTTTATTAGTAAAATAAATTACTTTAATAGCAATTTAATAATATCATAATATAATATAGTATCGTCAAAACCCGTCTAGTGTTCCTTTGCATATCCCTATATATATGTTCGAGTAATTATATGAAAAAGAGCCTATTAGGCGTTTAATGTTAATGTCCAATGAGGATTCCTCTATCGATCTATAATTTTACCATTTGTTATTTTTTTAATGTTAGCTCACTTTAATGACTGAAATATAACTTATTTATCATAATTGTTAATTTAATTTAATATTGTGTTATGAGTGTTATTGTAATTATTGTTAATATGTAATTTGTAAAAGGGTTTCAAACCTATATATTATTATTAAATAAAACATATAACTAGCTGATCCCACGCACTTTTTGGTTAGTAAATAATAACAAATCTTAAAAACAATTTGATTGTTCAAATTATTTTGCGTTTAACTTGCTGCTGTATGTGCAAGTGTGCAAATACGTCAGATCGTGGACAATATGCAACAGCATATCAAGTAGACAATACACCTGCTAATTGCTATAAGTGCAACTCAGCCACCATGGTAGGCAATGTCTGAAAATTCGATTTCATGCATGCTTGTACCAGTTCGGCCCGAATAACCAATGGCAACCAATAATAAATAAATACTAATTTCCAGGGCTTCCAAACGATTGAAATTTGTAAAAGTAATTATAACGGAAAGCGGTCATCTAAGAATATTAAATACCGCAAAACAAAACATTACAATTAACAAAATATATTATAGGTATATAATTAAACAAAACGTAATTTATAGAATACTATTAAATGAAAAATAAAGCAAAACGTAATTTATAGATTATCATTGAACAAAAAATAACGCAAAACGAAATATTTTAAACTCTATTTATTTAAGAGGTCTATGGGTTTCGTAGAAACATTTATTTCATATAAACAATCTAATAAATGATTATATTATATTCCATAATCCCAATATCCTTTCCATAACCCACCATTAGTTATAATTTTTAAGTTTAATAGGTATTATCGCTATTTTAAATAACGATAAACTTAAGACTTGCATAAGGTTTTAGTTCTAAATAATGATAGACTCAAAACTTGGATAACGTTTTCATTGTGTATAACGATAAATGCAAAATTTGGATAACGTTTGAAATTCTAAATAACGATAAACGCAAAAATTGTGTAACGTTTTAATTGTAAATAACATAAAACAGAATTTTTTTTTTCAAATGCAAGCCCAGCTAAGCATTTCTAATAATTATTTCTCAAAATAACCAAAGCAACCATTTTTAAAGTTTAATCTAACAACTCCATTGTAAATCTCAAAATCCATATTTGAGCACTTCCTCAGGTTTGGATTACCAGGTCCAATTGTAAATTTAATATAAACCATAAATTACCAGCTCAAGCACACACAGCAAATTTCATCAAAATCGGTGAAACCGTTAGGAGGCCTTTGAATACTTATACACGAACAAAATAAATATAAACGTTAATGATATGAAATTATGAAATAATAATTATAATTAAAAAATCAATTATTGAACATATTGAGAGATGGCAAGGAATTTTATTAAAATATGAATAATAATATATAACACTGTCAAATCATACAACACCTATGGCTTATCTTTGGACAAACGATGGTGACGTACGGATCCGTCGACATATATGTGTCAAGTAGTAACACAGAAAAAAATTGCAACTAACCCAACCAACTCTCGCACTGTCTATGAAACTGCTTCTTCAAACACCGTCACAAATTATTACAATGTCCTATTCTTCAATTTTTATAATTTTAAACTTTTTACCCTCGCAAACATGCCTATATGATGTATATAATAATAGTATAACCATTA